TTCGAACCCGCCACCTTAGGTGTACGTGGCTGACGCCTTAGCCGGTTGAGCTATAGGCACCGAGCCAAGACATACATTTTTAAGAAGTGGAAAAAAAAAAGTGGAGTGACACAGTCCAGTTTACATTTTAGAAAATTAACTGTTGTGGTATCATGGAGGAGAGATTAGAGCAGAGGGTTCCCACCTAGGAGAAAATCACGAAGCAGTTCAACTTCCTTGAATAGAGAAAGATGAGAAGGGTTGAAAAAAGGGATAGGCTACTAGAAATGGACTGAAAGATAAGGGTCCAAAAGGTATGTAAGAGGGGGCCCCCTAGCTGGATAACTGGATGATATTCAAATGCATGAAACAAGACTTCAGACTTGAGAAACTGGGTGGGTATTATATAAAAGTGATAGTTTTACTAAAAGTGGTCATTGAGTCTTTAACAGCTGTAATTCTTTCTTTAAATTGCAGACAGTTATGAAATTCTTGGTGTACTATGCTGGTGACCTCGCCAATGTTTTCTTTATCATCACAGTGGGAACTGGTCTTTATTGGCTTATTTTCTTCAAAGTAAGTGAGTTTCTTAATTTACCCTAAATGCCAATATCTGAAGCTCTCTTTATAAAGGAATCATTTTTATTTGGGAGCATTTCTGATCAAGACAATTGAGCTGGGCACGGTGGCTCACACCTGTAATCGTAGTACTTCAGGAGGCTAAAGTGGGAGAATTGCTGGAGACCAAAAGTTTGATACCAGCTTGGTATCTTTGGTTTCTTTTCTTTTTTTTAATGTTTTAATTTCTTATAGCATAACTGTGTACATTAATGCAATCATGGGGTACAGTGTGCTGTTTTCATATACATTTTGAAATACTCTCATCAAACTGGTTAAGGTAACCTTCATGTCATTTTCTTAGTTATTGAATTAAAACGTTCATACTCTGCTTTTAGAAAGATTCACTTGTACCCTTGTAAAATAAACCATAGAGGTGACCCCATCAATCTCCCTCCCCCGTCCACCCCCCTTACTTCCCCCTCCCACCCCCCTCCCATATTCTAAGGCTATAATTAGGTTATGACATTCCTATAAAAGCTATGAATTAGTTTCAAA